GGTGGGCACGTGTAAATATGCTGCCTTTTTTCGAGTGTTATAGGAATTTTCCACGATGTTTTTTGCACATCCCTAACGTTACCTCACGCCCGCCTCCTATTATGTACGGCGGACCGGGGCATTTATAACTTCAGATCATCTAGGTTTGCTTATTCGGTGGTAAAATAAGTTAACAGAGAAAAACAGCAAAACAAAGTTGACAAACTATAGAAACGCTTGCCTGGGCAACAGTGACAAAAGAAAATGTCTATCTAATTGAATTGCGCCGGTGATCGTAAAACGTTTTAAACGTTACAATATAGTAAAATGCAGGCTAGATCAACGTTCCTTCCGCTGTTCCAGCGGTGTGTATCGGTAATTTCCCGCCCCGCATGAGGTAAATTAGTACTCCTCCCATTATTCTGTGATGTTACCGCGGCCTGCATATGAATGCAGAAGTCTAACGGAAAAGTAACGGAAAAGTAACGGAAAACTTACGCAAAAGTTACGGAAAACTTACGGAAAAGTAACGGAAAAGTAACGGAAAAAAAACGCGTTAGTAACGGCCGTTAGGGTAACTATAACGCGAACGGTACTGTAGGTACATTTTTGTACACTGGTGCACCCATTGCAACCTAAAAAATTGGGTGCTCAAAAATTTTTTGGGGTGCACCATATAAAATAATATTAGTATAGTAGTATGTCAGCAAAAACAAATTATTTTTCATTTCTAAAGAAAAGTACTAAAACAATGATTTTATCATTTTTCTGATACTTGAGGTGTTAAGAATATGTTGTATACTACTATACATTTAACATCAAAAATGTAAACCTACAAAAATATTTGGGTGCACTGGTGTACCCAAAGAAATAGATTGGGTGCACTAAGGTTGGGTGCACCAGTAATTCGAGCTCTGTTTAGTAATATATGTAAGGATTTTGATAACTATGCTGTCAGATAATATCTACATCAGATAACCAAAAATATTGCTGTTATAAACCTGATGTTGGATATCTATGAATAATTTCATCAGCAGGCCTCGAAATTCATTTTAGGGAATAGGTGCACTGGTGCACCCAACCTATTAAATTGGGTGCACAAAAAATATTTTAGGTGCACCATTTAAAAAATGTTGTCAGCAAAAGGTAATGTTTCATTTCTAAAGAAAAGTAATAGCAGCGATTTTTAGTCTGCTATACCATTTAACATCTTTACATACATAAATCTATGAAAATATTTGGTCAGTGCACCCACAGAAAAAAATTGGGTGCACAGCCCCAAATTTGGGTGCACTAAGGTGCACACGCACCCAGTATTTCCAGCCCTGCATCAGGAATAGAGACTGAAGAAGAAGGTTTTTTTTTTGTTATCACATCTGACAGTCACTGAAATGTCCAAAGTGAAAACCCCTGGTTGTTGAATGAAGAAACCTCATATGCAATCTTTGGACATATTTTACTGAGGCTTAATTCAGATATATATGGAGAGGAAAAATCATGGCAGATACTATTAGGTAATTCAGACTGCACTACTGGATCTTTATCAATGCATTGTGGCAGATATTTCGTCTACATGTTTATTTTCTTAGAAATACTCAACAGGTAAAATATCTACCTGAGTGCCAATCAAAGACATTGACCAGTCTGAATATATATGTTAATATTCTTTGTAAATGTAGGCTATAGGGATTTCATACGGTAATTGTCCTAATTCCCTACGAAGGATGGATTGTCGCCTTATGACAATCAACGAACTGTGTGTGATTGGTTGATTTCAATGCGTCCAGGGTAGCTGCCGTTCAGCGTAATCCCCTTTAGATATTCGGTGAGATGTCTGCCGACAGCAGGCACATGTAGACACATGCTCATCTGCTCCCGAGGTTGGGGTAATCAGCAGTAGAATTTTCAGGACGTGCCTGTCATAAAGAGATTACTCACACCATACCCTGCCTTTAGCTTGAGTGCTCCCCAGGGTTAAGTATTGTGCTGATTAGGTCACACCAATATTGGTTCTCGGATCCTCCTGCTTATTATTTTTGATCTGCAAAAAAAAAATGCTCCTATTTAGTATTTTGGCCCAAACAGTTGAAAGCGCCTTACTTTCCTAGCTGTTGCACTACAGTTTTCCATCTATCAAATTGAATGCAATTGCTTGATAAAGTTTTAAAATTCATCATTAAATTTTGAATCATAAACCAACCTGACATGTTGACATCATGGCTCCTATCAAAGTTTTGGGCCTATCAGATTATTCATAAGTTTATCTTTC